TCTTTGTTAAAAATTGGGTCAGGCTGTTCCTCAGGGTGATCGAGATGACACCAAAACTTTTTCTTAGACTAAAGGTGGTCAACCTGCAGATGAGGCAGGGAACAGAAAGCAAAGTAGCAAATTGGGCAAGGAGAACAGCGCTGGGAATAGAGAGCAGAGCAGATGGGGCAGGAGCAGATCAGTGTCACTTGGTGAGGGTACAGGGCTAATTTGTGGCAAGTCTGCCAAAAACATTGACTCCTACTGTCTTAGACTGATCTCAGTAACCTTCCTTGTACTAACCTGTAAGTGGCAAGCCAAGCAACTTGCTACTAATATTCCAGAAACAAGACCCCATCTTGAAAACTATCTTAGCAAAAGCAAACAGGCCAACAAAAATGTACTAATTACATCATTACATTAAACTATACAACTGACTAAATGTATTGGAGCCTAAAAGTATATAATTACAGCTTTTGAATTTATAGTATTTGCTTAATATTTGCACCAACCTATAGCTTGCCCAGGCAAAATTAAAGCAATTATTTAAAGATTTGCAAATGTGAAGTGGGATTGAGATTTATGAACACAACTATTTTGATGGTGGTTTTTTTCTCTGTTTTCTTTGGGCAATTTTTTTTCTGGAGTTATTATATCACGATATCTCTAAGGGGGATAGATTTCTTGGGGTGGAAGGACATATCACTCCCCAATAGTGAAATTAATTTTGTTTTAAAATACAAACAGCCTGCCCTTTCTTAAATATCTCTTTTCTCCTCAAAATACAGTAAATGAAATTAAATAAAAAGCAGATTGAATAGAGTCCATAGTTGATGAAGCCTTCTAGTCTCACTCAACTGACAGCAAATCCAGCAAGCTGGTTGTTGCCAAGCTCTGAATTTCATGTGCAATGTTTTGCTGAGGTTGAGACTGGCTGCCAGAGATTCTGCACACCAGATAGATTTAGGAAATGTGTTTCAGCCTGCTCTCAATCTTCCATTGTAAAGTGAGGGGGGAGGAGGGAGAAATTCTGTGAAGCAGGAAAAGAGATGCAAATACTCATCCCTGTTCTTTGCTGAGCTGATTAAAAGAACAGCTTTGAGAGACTTTGCTGCTCAAAGGGAATGGCTGCCCTCCTGTGGCCAGCTGGGCAAGAATGCTTTTAAAATAGAATAGATACCAGGTCCAATCATGCAGCCTTTAGGCCAGCGTTTAGCTACCCACTGGGCCTGTCTACATTTGTGCTTAATGTGCATTAAGATAGGCTAGTGTGCATTAAAAGTGTCACAAAAGTGCTATTGCAAATGCAAATTAAGATAGGCTAATGCACATTTTTCTAGTACTTCACAATGGAAGTACTAGATTGAATGCACATTAACCAAAGTGCATTAATAAAACATAGACACACCCACTGTTTATTTGGCGTATCACCATGTCAACATGGCTAGGAAGCCGTGCATTAGAAACACTTTCTAGAGTACAGAAATGCAATTGTGTTGGCTCCTTAATCCAAAGAAGCTCCACCAAATGCCAGTCAAGTACTTAGAATAGTGTTTCTTGGGTGAATTTGATATCTTTTAGTAGACCAACCCAAATAGTTGGAGAAAAGTTATTAAGCAAACTTTCAGGTTCAAAAACCCTTCATCAGGCTAAGGAAGTTCCAGCAGTTGTTTGCAATTTGTAAGCCTGATGAGGAAGCAACAGAAGTTATAGATCTCTAGGTCATGGCTTCAGATTTGAGCCAATACTATTTGAAAGTTACCACTCCCTTGCTGTTTAGAAACCTGCCTGTCAAGTGCCTGAAGCCTAACTAAGCTACCTAGTGTTGTGGCTTCCTTGTACATAAGTCCCTAGTCTAATCAGCAGTGAGTTGGAATCAAATACACATACATCTATGACAAGTCCCTTCAGAAGTAGGTGATGGTAGAAGAAAGACGCTGGCTGCATAAATACATAGCTCGCATGGGTAAATTTAGTTCCATACATGGGAGGATCCTCTTGCAATCAGCTTTCACTTTATGTGCCTAGATTTATAGTGGGATTGATCAATACAGTAAACTGATTCAGCATTAAAAAAACTGATTGTTCTGGCTAAATAATTATGGCTTCAGAATGATTATTAGACCTCTACACCCGAGTACAAAGTGATTTTCTTTTAAATCAAGTATGGATTAATTCATTACCAAGTCTCATTAGAAGGGCGATTAAGTCACAGTACTAGACTGTTTAGTGAATTGCATGATAAAGCCTGACTTCCACATACTAACAGGTTTGTGTTTCTATAAAATGTATAGATGGACAGGGAAGAGGCAAAGCAGTGGACTTAAAAGTACAGCAAAGCAGATTTAGATTCAGATCTCAGGAACAAAACTTCATACCTCAAAGAACAGGAAGAGCTATGGAATCTTTCACTAGAGGTTTTCAAGAAGTGGTCATATAGGTATCTCTATCTGAGCTAGTTTAGAAATAGTGCATCCTACATCTGTGCCAGGGGAGGTACTAGATCAGGCACATCAAATTCATTTAACCCCATGTGCTAGATCTGGACCAAGGGTTTGGGTTTTTTTTTAATGGACCAGTCCAGCTACAGCAGCAGGTCAAGTGGCAGTAGCCTTAACCCCCTGGATACTAGCCCTGCAAACACAGCAGCTGTGGGAGCCATAGGGGTTAACACACCACTCCTCAACCCCAGGAAAATCAAGATCCCTTCTGAAGG